AATGCAGGCTACGATTTCAATTTGTTTATTGTGAAATAACTCAAACATATGTTTTTTTCTGTCCTCTGATAAGCATTGTTCAGGGCTGCTATTCCCAAAAGCTTTAATGCTTTATTATGATACTTTTGGGAAACGCAGCCCTGTCTGAATGCACTGTCAGAAGTGAGTGAACGCTCTTTGATGGATTGGTTCTGTCTTGCAACATTTCAGTTCAAGTGAAAATGTTCAGATGAGCAGGAAAATAGTTCTATCCTACACAATTACTTGTGAACAAAGGTTATTCGTCCAATTCAATGCATTTGTACGCATTATTATTATTATTTTAAATAAAATCACTGGTAAATAAAACACACCTTAGTATCGATATTTTTAGTTTGAGTATCGATACTTTCGATATTCGCGTCAGTATCGATATATCGATACTTAGGATCGATACGCCCATCCCTAGATATTAGTACTAAGAGTCTTGAAAATGTACCAGTTGCTTGTGAAAATTCCGCCAAAGCAATTAAAAAAAACTGTAAAACAAAAAAAGGCTTTGAGTGTGACAAATGTGTTGTAGTGTGTGAAAGTATTAAATGAAATAGTATAGTATAATTTTAGGCTAATGTAATTGAAATTTAGCAATGATGGTTATTTTTTCCTTCTCTAAAAAAAGATACAAGAATAGATATTATGATGATCAGATAAACCCAGAGGTACACAGACTGCTCGGGGAAGCGCACTCAAGCGGAGTGAGCATAGCTCTGGTGAGAAGATGGGAGAAACTGTGGCGACACTAAAAGCTCTTCCATCTAGTTCTTTGCAGCAGATGCATGAGGAAGTTCTCAAGGACACCAGTGGCAGTGATGCTTACAGCCAAAGAGATTCGGCAGCACCTGAGATAAATCTGTACCTCTCTGAGCCTGTCATCCCAAAATCTGGAGATTCCCTGGTGTTTTTCATAAAGAAAAACTTGCCTTACCTAATTAAGTAGGAAGGGGCCAAAGGACTACTCTGCAGCTTGACAATCACTTAAATCATATTTCTGTTAGTTTTTTTTTTTTTTTTTGTATCAGACTACTCTATTTTGTTCTTTTTGGAGTTTAAATGATTCTATTTATTTTTTCCTCTTCAGTCTTATATTGGACCATGTTTAATTAAACCATATGAGTTACATCAGACTTATCCATTTTGGAGTTTAAATGTTTCTATTTTACTTTGTTCTCTCTAACACTGGACAATGTTGAAATACTGTACACCTCATGAGTTGCATCAAACTACTCCATTTTGTTCTTTCAGTAGTTTAAATGTTTCAATTTCTTTTTTTTTTACTCTTCAGTCTTATATTGGACAGTGTTTAATTAAACCATACGAGTTACATCAGACTTCTCCATGTTGGAGTTTAAATATTTTTGTTTATTTTGTTCTCTCTAACATTGGACAATGTTTAATACAAATTATAACAATTTGTTCTTTTGGGATTCTAAATGTTGTTTTTTTTATTAATTTTGTCCTGCTCCGACTTGTATTGGACAATGTTTAAGTTATATCAGACTTCTCCATTTTAGGAGATTTAATGTTTATTTTGTCCTTCACAGTTTGCTATTGGACAATGTTTAAATAAACCTTGTGGGTTGCATCAGACTGCTCCATTTTGTTTATTTAATTTTGTCTTATATTAAAGTATCCTGATATGCATAAACCCCATTTTAAAGGCATATTAAAATGTTCACTGTATAATGAATACTTTTTTGTCATTATTTAGAACTGTGTTAAAACAATAGTTACATTACATATATTACATAATTACTTTAAAAATATAACAAAGGCAACATTTATAGTATTACTTTATCTGAAAAAAAGGTTAACGGTGATCAGAGAGCTTACATATCAGTTATATAAAGCTTGAAGCATCAGAATCGGCATCAGTATCGACCGATCACCATGACAAGAAATCGGTACTCCGTATCGGCTGCAAAAATCCTGATCGGAGCATCCCTAGTCCGGAGGAAGACTCCATCGAGCAATCCATCTTGTGGGAGGTGCTCCAGGATGCATGGGGTGAAATCACATCAGTTTACCTTGAAAAATTGACAGCTAGAATGCCTAAGGTCTGCCAGGCTGTAATTGCTGCAAAAGGTGTTTTTTTTTATGAAGGCAAAGTTTGAAGAACACATTCATCATTTCCATCAAAATCATTATTTCTAACTCTGACAATGTCAGCATGTCCTGTTCTTTTGCTATATTTCCTATTCAGACTAATTTCATGTGTGTTTCCATGGAAAACAATAACATTTCTAAGTGATCCCAAACGTTTGAGCAGTAGTGTATATTTTTGTATTTTTAGTGTAGTATAGTAGTGTATATTTCAAGAGTATTTTTGTCTTGTTTTTAGTATAAATATCTAAAAATTCTTGAATCAGGATGCATTTACTTGACAAGTAAAATGACTTAAGACACAATGTCTTGTTTCCTGAAAAAATTATCCAAATTGTGTTAGTTTTTGCTTAAAACAAGCAAAAAATATCTGCCAATGGGGCAAGAAAAAATAATCTTAATTCAAAGGCTAAACAAGATTATTTTTCTTACCCCATTGGCAGATGCTTTTGCTTGTTTTAAGCAAAACACAATTTGGACATTTTTTTCAGGAAACAAGACATTGTGTCTCAAGTCATTTTACTTCAAGTAAATGCATCCTGATTCAAGAATATTTTTATATTTATACTAGAAAACAAGACAACAATACTAAGGAAGAAAATCTTTTTTTCTTCCAAAATTTGTTTTTGCAGCTTTAAGTTTTATAACCTTAAAGAATTAAGAACAAACACCAACCTATTTGTTGTTCAATATCTTCCTGTTTTATTCCGCAGGGCTCTGGTTCATCCATGTTTTCAATTTTCTCACACCAACTTTATCTTCTTCACTTTTAGGCTAATGGGAACATTCCAGCATTTATTGGTAAACTGCTAAAACGCTGAACTGTAGGTGAACTGCTGTAAAAATAAACCAGTTATCAATTCAATGCTTTCATCATCAAATTTATTGTTACAATCAAGCAAGCCTCTTCATGTCAAAATAGATAATGCTAAAAATGCATTAACCCACAGCCAAAAAATAAATACATAGAATATGTGAATTAGTTTGAAAACAAATCAAGTTCGACTCCCATTAATTCCCCTCACAGATCGTACTTTGACTTTTGATCAAGTGCCATTCAAAAACAATACCATTATTGCTCCAAATAATCTAAATAATTAAATACACGAACATAAAAACACACACAAAATCACAGATCTTAAATGTATTTAGCATTAACGTTCCTCACATTGTTGTTGTCTGCTACGCTGAAC